CTTTATATACCCAGCACCCGCATGCGGTAGGTCCTCAGGAAGTATATGAACATCGGGCTGGGTATACACAGAAATCTGGGCTCTCTGCAGACTCTCTGCTTCCCAGAGGGAAGGGTCTAGATATGGATGCTGATCCACTGTTCTCGCTGTAGCACACAGGAGCCACTAGGCGAACACTACTCAGCCACAGTGGAAGCACATGGATAGACCGCAAGCTAGATACACTGAGATCAACACTGAACTTCCATGCAGAGCAAGGTCAATTATATGGTATGATTGGAGGAAACTATGAATAGAATCCCAAGCTAGAAACCTCTCTCATAAACCCATCACAATATCTAAAATGTCTGCCATTAAGAGCTCAGTGACTTCAGCTGCATCCAAGGATGCAACTCAGAGCTAGAGTGTATCTCAGGAGGGCGGCAGGTGTGGTTCTGCGTGGTCAGTCAAGGCTGGCGCCACAAGGGGCAGGCAGAGCCCTGGAGCCCACAGGTAGAGGGGAAACGGACTAGCCAGTTCTGCGCACCGCTGCTGTACGAGCCACCAGGGAGTCCAGTGCACAGAGTCTATGGGGAGGACAAGGTCAAGTCCAGAAGATTGAAGCAAGTGTCAGCTTAGGGACAGCCATTCCAACAGGCTCAAGAGTTGAGACATTCAATGCTGATGCTGGAGACACTGAGCTGTGTTCCCAGAGCTCTGTTCTTCGCTGTCGCGTGGCTAAGAAGATATAAAGCAGGAATCAAACCAACGGAGGAGAGAAAAACAAAAACACTTCCAAGCTTAAAGGAAGACTGGGGTAAAAGGCAGAGAATCACGGCAGACACCCAGACCCACAGCCAGGGCCAACACAGTGGAACAGGGGGTCCTGTGGCCCAGGAGTCACTCCCACCATGATTTACGCTGAGTCCCACCAGACAGGGAGGCTGGGCTGCCATCAACCTCCTTTCCAGATCCAGATGAGCTCAGGCACTGGAGGGAGTTGTCAGCGTGGACAGGCCCCATGAGCAGTGAGAAGCCAGGCAGGCAGGCACAGGCTGCCTTCACCCAGAGACAGCACTGTCTCTATCTCCTAAATGACCCGACAGGAGCCCACAGAGGATTTCCAACTGATCTAATGTCTAGTATGTGACCTTAGCCAGAGAGACAAACCATGAAGTGTTCTTTCCATGGTGCCAAGGTGGATTAAGTCATTTGATCACCAGAATTCCTCTTTTAAAAGGTAAGAGTCGTCACAGGGTGAGAAAAACACAAAACCAATGATCCATTAACAACTTTCACAACTTAGACCTTTTTTTTTTTCCTAACAGAGATTGGGAGACCAGTCACCTAGGCAGATTCTGAGAGAATCAAAAGGTTTAGGGTGTTTTTGTATGCTTTGAGATTTGATGGGGGTGGGGTTCAGAAGAGTAGAGAAGAACACAATACATTTCAATACTCTAAAAAAATTACATCCAGCACGTAAGTAAAAAGCAACTAACCAGGATCAATCGCCAAAATAAAGCCTCTCAGACAGCTCAAAATTTACAAGTGAAACAACAAAAATTAAAACAACAAACCAATAAAGGAGAAACCAAGCATCTCTGGGAAGACCAATACAAGAAAACTTTAATAAGATAAAATCAGTTCATTCTTAGAGAAGGACCAACCTCTTGGCTAAAAAGAAGGCTATTCCTTCCCATTTGTTCTCAAGGCCTCACAAGAGAAGACGACTGAATCCTTACAAATTAATTAATAAGTATGATCAAAATGAGGAAAAGGTAAGAGTTTAATGTGTACATACATTAAGAGGTTAATAAGTACACACAGTCTCCTGTAGTCTAGTTCCTCAAAACTCAAAGATATCTTTACAAAAATTTAAGTGGACTATTTTAAATCTTATTAAAATTCCTCTATTACAACACTGGAGAAGCACCGGGGTCTTAGGCAGTAGGCTCTGGATTTCTTTTTTATAGGAACGTTAAATTGAAGGAATTTCAACTCCGATACTCTTCCCAGGATTTACAAAAGAACAAAACCTAGGTTTCCAATTCAGTAAATCCCGATTTAATTTTAGAATTAAAATATTGCCACCAATTAAATTCCTTTAAACATTTAAAAAATATTTTAAGGTCTGAAACAAGAGAAGGTGTTAACTATCAAGTTTCAATGCATCATTTCTTCCATTGCTTCCACCCTTTACTTTACATATATCTTTACATATATATATACATACACACACACACACACACACCCCTCTAGAACTTATGGTATACAGGATTTTCAAACACATATGAAGATTTTAAAAGTGATTTTTAGGAGATAGAAAACTATACAGTGAAGAAGTGAATGAATGATAAACCCCCAATTCAGGGCTTTTCACTGAGTGGGGGTTGGGAATGAGACAAGATTGGGAAGGAGTGCCCAGGGTTCTTAAAGGCAATCGTAATATTATTTTTCTTAAACTGAGTGATGGGGAGATGGGTGTTTGCTGTACCATTATTCTCCATATCTTACTTATATTTTGTAATATTATTTAAAATAGTCAATATTTAATAAATACAAGTCTTTTTTAAAAGAGTTTATATGCTTGTCACTGTGGAAGATAATGAAAGACATGTAGAAATCAAATCCTCACAGTGTTACTCAATAAAAAGTAAAACAATTATGACTGTACAAATTTGTTTCAGAGCCAACCTTCTACAGAATTAACAAATCTTGAGAAAAACCTTATTTTTCTAAACTTCTACACAGATATGCTCAAGTTTTTCCCATCATGTACTGCTTCATTCTGTTGCTTTTTTAAAAACCTATTTTTCCTTAGCTTCTCTGTAACTTTCATCATTTTGTTAAAAAAAGCATTAATTCTTTCTAACTCTCTGAATGAATCCAAATAAATAAAAATGGGGTTATGGCCGAGCATGGTGGTTCACACCTGTAATCCCAGCACTTTGGGAGGCCGAGGTAGGCAGATCACCTGAGGTCGGGAGTTTGAGACCAGCCAGACCAACACGGAGAAACCCCATCTCTACTAAAAATACAAAATTAGCCAGGCGTGGTGGCGCATGCCTGTAATCCCAGCTACTCGGGACGCTGAGGCAGAAGAATTGCTTAAACCCAGGAGGAGGAGATTGCAGTCAGCCGAGATTGCACCGTTGCACTGCAGCCTGGGCAACAAGAGTGAAACTCCATTTCAAAAAAAAAAATGGTATTATGCCTCGATGAATGACATACAACAGCATGATTTGTATCACCCAAAATGACCATAAAATTAAATTCAGTATTTGGATAGTGAAAGGCTTTCAGTTCACCTGTTTTGTTGTTTCCAACTATATGATGCCAGCAGAAACCTCTTAAGTCAAATATCAGGAAAGCACCAATAATTTTTAACATTTCTCCAACTCTATGTTATCTATTCTGCTTTCAACAAAGTCATAAAAACATCTTAGACACATTTTGTTCAGACATGTGGAGTATTTAATTTTGTAAGGATAATTCAAGCAGTGAATTCCAGTGGTCCTCAAATGCCAGCTATTTCTAATATTTCAAAAAGCCTAAAGATATATTTACCTGTAATGAGCCCAGGCTAGGAATGAAAATACTTTTGCTTTTTCCACTGGGATCTTACCAGGTCTTCCTAAAGTTAGCTGGCTATCTCATGCTGATCAGGTATTCAGACATATGTCAAAATATGAGGTCCATGGAGCAAAAATAGTAAAAGTGGTCTTATTATCAGTATTCATTTTTTTTAAATCAGTATTTAAAAAATAGCAACATGAAGCCTGGGGCCCACTAAACCAGAATAGTTCTATCACTGTTATCACAAACCCCAGAGAACCTTGATTCTCTAACTTTGTTAAAAATTTGCAAGTCAACTTTCAATTACTTTTTTTTTCAATTTTTAATTTTTCCCAGTTCAGTTCTCTGCCCCTCCATCTTTGTAAAACAGAGTCAAGGGAAGTTAAGAAGAAGCAAGTGTTTCCATATCACATCTTCTTCCTGCTACAAGCCAGGCTAACAGAACCAGAACTGTTTCTCTCTTCTCCAGCTTCCAATTCTCCTTCAAATTAAACTGAGACCCTCCCCAAACTATTGCTCTTTGCAAAATTAAATACTCCGGTGTCTGAACAAAAGCTAAACTGAAAAGGACACTTTAAACGAATAACCTTTAAAAACAAACTAAGACAGCCTTCAAAATAATCCCCTTTGGCCACATGGGACAGCCCAGGGGACAGGTACAGGGCTTTCCTTCCTAGAGGCTGTCTCCTCCTCCATGAATCTGACCTTTTCCAGCTGGTAGCTCTGGCACCTCACAAATCACTTGTCAGTAGGCCGAATGCCTGCTTTCCCATCTGCACTTTCCAAATGGTTCCTGATGCCAACGGCTGAGATATGACCTGACTCTCTGATGAGAACATGCTTCCCAAGTGACATGCCAGGTTTCCCTGGAAGCATTTCTAAATGCATTCTCTGAGCTCCCTCCCTCACCTCCCAGTCACGGTTCATTCTTCCTTCCCTGCACTTCCTAATGCCACCTCCTGATCCTATGCCTCTAATGTCATGTCCCTTCAGTCCCAACTCCTTACCCACTTTCATCAACCGTTGACCCTTGTTCTGCCTTACATCCCAACTTCAAATCCAAAGGGCAGAGTTCTGGCTAGGTGTGGTGGCTCGCGCCTGTAATCCCAGCACTTTGGGAGGCTGAGGTGGGTGGATCACCTGAGGTAAGGAGTTCGAGACCAGCCTGGCCAACATGGTGAAACCTCATCTCTACTAAAAATACAAAAATTAGCAGGGCGTGGTGGCGCAAGTCTGTATTCCCAGCAACTCGGGAGGCGAAGGCAAGTGAATTGCTTGAACCCAGGAAGCAGGGGTTGCAGTGAGCCGAGATCACGCCATTGCACTCCAGCCTGGGTGACAGAGCGAGACTCTGTTTCAAAAACAAACAAATAAACAAACCAAAAAGCAAAGGGCATAATTACAACATTTTGGAGCTGGTTTGAAGTGATCTTTCTGAGGCCTACCTGCAGGCAGGTCGGTCATGGCCTCTTTCCTTGCCTTCTTCAGCTTCTCCCTGACCCAGGGAAACTCCTGTAGGGAATCTAGGAATGTATCGAATGCTTTAGGGCCCCTGGAAGGTAGGATATCCAGCAGGAGCATTGTTTTCCGGAGGCCTGTGGTTTGAGCATTGATTTCTTGAACATGGTTTTCCGTCAAGACTCCTTCCTGGTAGAGGTACTGAAGAACCAGTCCCTCCACCAATACCTCTGCACCCAGCTCCAGGCGAAGTGAGCGGAGTACTTGCTTGTCTCTGGCCTCCATTTCTCCCTGGAAAGAGCCGAAATCACAGCTCAAATTACAGACATGCTGATGTGGCCCGAAAGACAGTGTCACTGCAATGTAAGTTCCTTCAGGTCAGGCATATCTTCAAACCGTGGCAGAGTGCCAGGTCATGGTATTTAATTCACGAGTTAAGCCAAGCCAAGTTAACTTTGAATGTTTCCTAACATAATGAACAACAACGAAGATGAATCATCTTTTCTGTTCCTGCTTTTCACACAGTGGGGTCCCAGCTCAATTCCTCGTTCAATAAAGAAATTTGGAAAAAGAAAAAAAAAAAGTGGGTCAGAGACCCTTCCGAAAAAGCAATTTTTATCTGAAGATTACAGAGCAGCATTAATTTTAATATGCTGGAGAAGAAATCGTGGTTTTATTTTAACATTGCCCTCATCAGACCTGCACCACCACCACCACCACCACCACGGCAGAAACTGCCAAAGTGGGCGCAGGTGTCCCTTTTTTGATCACAAGTATTTGCAAAACCTGATTAGTAACAGGAGTGCAGGGCAGAAATCAGCAGGAACAGAGTTTAAGGCTCTTTTCGCTAAAAGACCTCTACACCATCACCTTTAAGAAAATTGTTGTTTGTGCCCAATCTACAATAAACCTTACACAATATATAGTCACAGACTCCATTCCTTCCCACTAAGAATTCCGAATCTCCAGCACAACACTGTCGTGGCCACACATGCATGGGACATTTTATGGGATTTTTTTTCTTTAAAACACCCCAGCGCCGGTCAGTAGCCAGGCACAATTTGAAGGTGCACTTCCACCACCCCTGCACCCGTGTGCTGTGGCTTGGTTGTGTGTAAGGCAGTGAAGGTCAAGTGACCGGGAAGGCAGGTAGGGATGACAGATGCGGCTTCAGATACACCCGGGCAGTACGACCACGGCTGGGCGACACCCGATCCCACATTCCCCCTCGCAACCCTGCAAAGTTTAGGAGCTGACAGGTGAGGAGGGGGAGGTGTTCACATTTGGCTGTGAGCGCCCATTGGGAACTTTTTAAAAAATCTCTGCCTCGGCCGCTGAAATCCTTGTATCAAACAGGAAGACTACGGGCGGTTTCTCCCGCAATTTGACCCGCTAAAGAGGGAGTGCTGGGAATGAACTTAAGAGCGGACCAAGGGGAGAGCGGGCCTCCGGCACTACCGCAGCCACCCAGCCTTGGCCCGGATCGGAAATGCAGACCAAGTTAGTGGGGCGGGGAAGCCCCCGCAGGGCCCAGGTCGCAGACGCTACAATGCAGGACTTTCAAGAAAAAATGGATTCCTGTTACTTACGTCTGCAACCACGTATCTTTGGGGCGGGGGAGAAAAACTGCAACCGGAATCCTGACTGTTAGGGAACCTGCCCCATAAGCACCATCTTTGTTAAAGGCGAAAACCCTAAACAGGAAGTGTTGACACCATCTTTGTTGAGGGCAAGCACAGGAAGTGCTGTCGCCATTTTTATTGAGTGTTCAAGGGTCGGATCGAAGCTCTTCCCGCCATGTTTACTGTGGGTAAACAATTCAATCACGGGGAGGTGGACAACAGTAGCGTCACTTAGAGGGTATCTAAGTAATGGAGTAATTGAATCATTGCATTTTAACACAGTAACTACACCAGGGCCTTACACACAATTGACATAACAGAGGCAGGTCAAAAGTCACCCTGGTAGAGACGCCTTCTCTGACCTGATTAAAACGGCAACACAGCTGCGCTCATCTCCTGCACTCCCCATTCCCTTAACCAGCTTTATTTTTTACGTATCACCATCTTATTAAAACTTTTTACTTATTCATTTGTTTATCCCTCTGCTTCCCTCCATTAAAATGCAAGGTATTTATTTATATCAAGGGTTCCTGTCCGCAAAAAGTTTACAAATCTGTCAGTCAGGATTTCATTGCAGCACTCAGCTAGCTACTCCTAGTCAAAAAGGGTTTTGTCAGGGGGAATTCGGGACATTTGAAATGATTGGAAAGACTGGAGAAGGGCTGAACATCCATGAATGACTACAAAGATAAGATTGCCATACTGGCTCCTGCCCACAATCAGGAAGATGGCATCAGGAAGTTGCCATGCCTCGTCCCCAACCTCTCAACACCGACAGAACAATTAACAGGACACTGGAACACTGCTGCAAAAAACCGTGGTCTCCACGGCTGCATTTGCCAGCAGCATGAAAACAGCACCTGCAAATATTGCTCTGCTGCCTGCAATTGGTGAGATCAATTTCAGATGCAGAATATTAGCAGCAAGGATGTCTAGAGCATGTAGTTTATAGCTTTCCAGCTTGAGAAACACAAAAAGGTATAGTAAACGAGGGAAGGGCTGATACTAAAGGCCTATCTACTGCATCCACCACATTTTCAATTTGGAAAGCAAGAAAAAATGCATGACCCAAATAGAAACACAGAAATGCCAAGTTGGGTGTCCTTCCTCACATTCCTTTGTGAAGTGAGGCAGTCGATCAATAAATACATTCATTGATTCATTTTTAAATCAATTGGATGATACATACAGAAAGTCTCATGCTTACTAAAAATTAGTTGACAATACAGGGGGAAAAACTCCTGAAATATTGTTTCTGCAAAGGTTTTCATAGCCAAAACCTTTGGTGGGAAATGAAAATATCTTTGTAAGCAAATCAATGGAGAACAGTTCTGAAACTCTCTCCTCAAAACCTTCTAAAAATTGTATCCACTTTACAGTGTTACTATGCCAGTTACCATTTTACTACACCATTAATGACAGTATTTTTACCTATGTGGCAAGTATTATTATTACAGTCATGCATTGCATAACAATATTTGGGTCAATGACAGACGCATATATGATAGTGGTCAGAGCAATAGGCTATGCTATATGGCCTAAGTAGTAGGCTATACCATCTAGGTTTGCTTAAGTACACCCTATTTTGTTTGCACAATGACGCTTTTCTCACAATGTATCTCCATTGTTATAACTGTATTAGCATTTTGCATGTATAAAGACTATGGAATCAGAATGGTCAATTGTCTTAGCCAAAATCTCACAGCTAATATAGAGCAAAACTTGAATTCTAATGAAGTTTCTCTGATTTCATGCTCTTTCCAATACACCATACAACCCTGTATAGTGAAGAGTTTATTGTTCTAATGATAGCCAAATATTACTTGCAAATCATCCTGTTGCCACCTCCTATCTCTCTCCCTTTTCCCCTTTTTCTCGAGAATCATTGTCCTTTCCTCAGCAAGATTTCCCATCTGTACATAGACAAGTGTTAGCACCATTCTTTGTCTTCATCCAGATAAAGTGCAGACCACTTGCAACACTGCCAAGCGTTGAGGTTTATAGGTTGAATATCCCTAATCCAAAAATTTGAAATCCAGAATGCTCCAAAACCTGGCTGGGAGTGGTGGCTCACACCTGTAATCTCAGCATTTTGGGAAGCCAAGGCAGGCAGATCATTTGAGCCCAGGAGTTCAGGGCCAACCTGGGCAACATAGTGAGATCCCATCTCTACAAAAAATACTAAAAATTAGCCAGGCATGGTTGTGCACGTCTGTAGTCCCAGTTTCTCAGGAGGCTGAGGTGGAGAATCAATTGAACCCGGGAGGTGGAAGTTGCAGTGAAACAAGATTGTGCCACTGCACTCCGGCCTGGGCAACAGACAGAGACCCTGTCTCAGAAAAAAAAAAGAAAGAAAGAAATGCTCCAAAACCTGAAACTTTTTGAGTGTCAACATGATGCTACAAGTGGAAAATTCTACACCTGACCTTACGTGATGGGTCAGTCAAAACACAAACCTTTGTTTCATATCCAAAATTATTTAAAATATTGTATAAAATTACTTTCAGGCTATGTGTATCAAGTATATATGAAACTTAAGTTTTGTGCTTAAACTTGGGTCCCGTCCCCAAGTTACGTCATTATGTATGTGCAAATATTCCAAAATCCAAAAAAATCCAAAATCCAAAACACTTCTGGTCCCAAGCATTTTGGGTAAGGGATAGTTAACCCATGCTAACTTTTTTAGAGAGGAAAAGCAAGTGGATTTTTTCTAACTGTAAACTTTGATAAATTTCAAACATATAGGAAAGTTGAAACAAATAGCGCAATAAACGCCCATATAAAGTTCCATATTTCTTGATGATTCATCATATTTGGAAAGACTTGAGATCTCCTAGGAGCTAGAAGGTGAGCCTTGATGATGATACCCAGGAGGAGGTGGGGAGCCAACAGTAGGATCCATGAGGTTTCACAGAAGAGAAGCAGCAAGAGACAGCAGGAGAGTGTCAGGGCCGCAGCCGAGGGGCATGGCGTCCTATGGTAAACAACCTGAGAGAGTGGCCATTAAAGATCTGACTTAAATCTGCAGCATGAAGCCTTTGACCATCAAATTCCTCTTCCCATGGCAAATACAGATGAGTATCCATGCTGTGTCTTAAGCAACTAGGCTGAACGACTAGCCCACTGCCATCAGCCACCCCACCTCAGCATACAGCAATACTTTGTGGCAGCACACCAAACACCCAGCTTTACTTAGGCAGATGAGCTAAGGCCAGAGGGCTTCTAAGGAATGGAACACAGATCAGAATCATTATCACAGGTGGTTACTCCTCCGCTCTGGCCAGTGCCTCTCTGTAGTCTGGAATTGTGTCCCCACGGAGGATTAAGCACCTGTTACCCAGTGGTAACAAATCCATCTTCAGGAAGGACAGATATTTTCATTTTTCTCTCTCCCCTAGTATGTTTACTTGTGTCAAGGTATCCCTATATGAGTTTGCAAAAGAAAGAGTCAAAAAGAACACATGCAGTATTTTTCTCTTTCGATTGGTCTTTGGTTTTGCAGCCTTCAAAAAATAAATCAAAGGAATTGCATGTTTTGGTTCTTCCTGTTTCATTGATGTAGAAGTTAAGTCATGGGGAATAACAGAGTATTTTCAAGCATGCTTGAAACATTTATTAAAATAGATCATAAATTCGTTCACAAAGAAGCATTAATGAATTCCTGAAAATCAATAGAATACAAACTATGTACTCTATAATTATACAATAAAATTAGGAATTTTGACAAAAGGACAGATTCCATAAATCCCATAAATTTGGAAACTAAATAAAACAATGCTTAAACCCTCAGGTTAAAAAAAAAAAGTCACACATGTATAACTAATAAAATATAGAAAGAAAGAAAAGAAAAACTTGATAGTAGAGAAACTTGGCGAACATCGCCTTAACCAAGTGATCAAGGTTAAACATCCCCAGCAATGAGTCATGGAAGTATGTACTCCAATACGATGTGACAAGAAGGGCATATCTCCTTTGTGATATTCTCCTTCAAAATTCATAACCTCAGTCTTTTTGTAAGAAAACCTCAGATAAACTCACACTGAGAGACATTCTATTAGGTTGGGGCAAAAGTAATTGCGGTTTTTGCTATTACAAAATATCTGACAAGTACTCTTCAAAAGTGTCAAGGTCATGAAAGACTGAGAAATAGTTACAGATTTAAGAAGACAAGGTGTGACAACTTGAGGAAGGAAAGGAGCAAGAGAGGGAGGATCAGAGGAGAAAGAAGGAGAAAACGAACATCATAAAGGACTTGCCCATAGTCAGGGAGAAATGAAAACTTCTGGGCCTAAATTCCTAGTCCCCATTTTATCTTAGCTATTTTCTTGATATGCAGCATAGAATTTCGTATGGTCTCTGTTCCCCAGACCAACCCTCCCCAAAAAGAGATAAAATAAAAATTTGTCAAAAGAAGTACAGACATCTATCCCTGTAACTGTAAATCCTTAAAAAAAAAAAAAAACCCACTTGGAATATGCAAGTGTTGCCTCTTTTGGTGTAACTTTTGATTAAGATATGCTGTAGATAATATCATCTGCACTAATAAATTATTATTTTACTAAGTTATGAATTCCAATGATTCATTCAATTCTTTGCTAATTTTCATCTTAATTACTGTTTGTTGTAAAAATCCTGAGACTATTTACAAAAACCTTTTAAAAGAGCCAAATACATTATTATGCAGAGTATCATGTACTAATTTAATCCTCCAACAATTCTAGAAATTTGAAGCGTTACACCATAAGACTTTAGTGGTTGGTAATACTAGGACTATTATAATTTATGAATAATTGACAGCAACAAGTTTCTGCTGAGCATTGATTACATGCTATGGTCAGCTAGGGATAACCCACTGAAAGAGAGAGATGGTCTTAGTCTTCATGGAACTTAGAATCCAGTGGAGAAAACAAACTTAAACAAGGAAACAAAACAAAAGTAATAATTACAAGTTGCTATAAGTGCAATGAAGGAAAGGTGCTTTGATAAGATAAACTGGTTCGGGGGCTGGGAGATGGCAGCTGATTCTAATTCAGTCTTCGGAGAAAGCCTCTCTGAGGAGATGACCTTTCTCCTAGTTTTCTTCCAAAGACTTGGCAAGAGTTATAAAACTGTACTACACACGTTTAAAAGATGGCCGGGCATAGTGGCTTACGCCTGTAATCCCAGCACTTTGGGAGGCCAAGGCAGGCAAATCACTTGAGGTCAGGAGTTTGAGACCAGTTTGGCCAACATAGCCAAACCCCGTCTCTACTAAAAATACAAAAATTACCCCACTGTGATGGCATGTGCCTGTGATCCCAGCTACCCGGGAGGCTGAGGCAGGAGAATCGCTTGAATCTGGAAGGTGAAGGTTGCAACGAGCCGAGATCGCGCCACTGCACTCCAGCCTGTGC